GGAGTAGCTGGTGGGTTTGGCCCGCCAACCTTTTGGTTAGCAAATGCCCTAGGCACACCGCCAGAGCTTCTTATACCATCTGTTGTCAAGAGCTTCTTATAACATCTGTTGTCATTGTTGTTATGTACCGTCGAGTCGGACCCGACTCATAGCAACCCCTCCTTGGGTTTCCAAGACAGTATCACTACAGAAGTAGATTGCCCCATCTTCCTTCTGAGGAGTGGCTGGTGGGTTTGAACCACCAGCCTCTGGTTAGCAGTCAAGTGTCTTAAGCACTACACTACCAGTTAGTATACCACAAATCACTTATCCCATAAACCACATTAAAATAAGGACTTCTGAGATATCCACATTTTGAGAATGCTTTTTCTTACATGAACTAGGAAAATACATCTTTATGAGGATTTAGAAGACATCAGTAAGATGCATCATATTAGAACACTTCTGTGAGGGAAGACTATGGGCTGTTTACAGGTTTATCTGTAATTTGCCTTACGTCAAGTTGGTCAAGATCTGAGTCACACTCAATTTGTACTGTAAGAATGCATTTAACTTAGCAAATGAATGATCTATATTTGTTATTTAATTCAAGGGATTAATTTATAATAAAATACAATTTAAAATAGAACTTTTGGTTCACCATCCCTGTTTTACCCACCATCTCTATTTTTTTAATCACTAAATGGATTATAAAACTTGAGGCTACAAAACTCATGGCTAATCTCCTTCTAATCTACCCTAAGTCAGATCTGGACCTTAACCAAGTTACTGTGGGCTGATGGCACTTTGTGGCAAAAGAAAATGCTCAAATTTCTTTCCTTACAGACTTTGTTTCTGGGAAGACGTAAAGATATCTTCCTTTGGAACATGTTTTACTTGTGAACCAAACAATGAACTATCACGTATAGTTTGAAATATCAAAAACCGTTAATGAAACCTCCCTCTGAGCCAGACTTTATTGCCTCATTTGGTTGTCCTCAGAAGGGAGGATATCATGCTGGGTAAAGGGTCGCTGAGTTGGAATTGACTTCACAGGTTTTTTTTTGGTTGTGTGGTTGTTTAGAGGAGTCCTGGTGATACAGTGGCTAAGTGCTCAGCAGCTAACTGAAACGTATTTCAAACCCCTCAGCCATTCCTTGGCAGAAAGATTTGGCAGCCTGCTTCCATAGATTACAGCCTTGGAAACCCTACAAGGCAGTCCTACTGTTTTACAGAGTTCCCATGAGTCAGAAATGCCTTGACAGCACTGTTACAGTTGTTAAGGTCCTGGGTGGCGCAAAGTTTGCTCTAAGCTACTAACTGAAGGCTGGTGGTTCAAGTCAACCCAGAGAAGCCACAGAGGAAAGGCCTGGCAATCTTCCATACAATTATAGCCAAGAAAACCCTGTGGAGCAAGTCCTACTCTGAAGTACATGAAGCTACCATAACTTGGGTGGACTTGATGGCCAAGGGTTAGGTTTGGTTTGTGGCAGATTATGTGATACAACTGTACAGCTGAGTGGTCGTGACAGAGGCTACATAGCCTTCAAAGCCTAACATAGTCACTATGTTGCTTCACCCAAAAAGTGTGCCAACTCCTCTTTTATGTACTTTTATTAAAATAAATAAATTTTGTTTGACTAACAAGGATATATTTTCTCATTACAAAAATACATAGAACAGATGCTAAAAGGAGTCCTTTGGACAGAGAAGCAACAACAGCCCATAACAGCCCATAACAACTGATTAACACACATGATGATATAACCCAGCTATGGAGGCATCCAAAGTAAATAAGCCTACAAGATTGTAAACAGGGAACCAGAGACATCAATTGACAGATGAGGACAATTACAAACCAAAAAGAGGGAAAAAAAAACTGTGTCGTTACAGAACTTCTAGATGGTAGAGAAGTCAAGACAACTACAAGATAGAATGTACTGTTCTAAACTTGGGAAGAAAACTAGAAATCACAGGGTAACCTCAAAGAAAAATGATAAACCTCCACATCAAAGTAAAAAAGATGAGCACAAATATTTAGGAAATACTAAAACAATAGCAACAAAGGAAGTGATAACACGATTTATAAACAAAAGGAGCTTAAAATAGAAAATTATATAGAACAAAGAAATCGACACCATGAAAAAGCACATAACAAAAATGACAGCAACAAACCCGTATTTGCCAATAATTACATATCTGGCAAGGGACTTATCTCTAAGATTTACAGAAAACTCCAACACCTCAACACCAAAGGAATTAACAATCCAATTCAAAAATGGGCAGAAGACATGAATAGACACTACAAGGAGGATATTCAGCTGGCCAGCTAATACATGAAGAAATGCTCAATCACTGGCCATCAGAGAGATGCAAATCAAAACAACGAGATACCGTCTCACCCAAGCACTGATGGCAAGGTTAAACAAGAAAGAAAACAACAAATGCTGGCAGGGATGTGGAGAGATTGGGACTCTCATATACTGCTGGTGGGACTGTGAAGTAATACAACCATTGTGGAAAGCAATATGGCAATTCTTTAGAAAGCTGGAATTGGAGATACCATTTGACCCAGCAATCCCATTACCAGGTATATATCCTAGAGAGGTGAGAGCCAGGACAAGAACAGATACATGCACACTCACGTTCATGGTAGCACTATTTACAATAACAAAAAGATGGAAACAACCTATGCGCTGACCAGTGGAAGAGTGGATGACCAAACTATGGTACATACACATAGTGGAATGCTATGCAGCACCAAAGAATAACATAGTCTGCAAAACACCGCATAATATGGATAAACTTGAAGGACATTATGCTGAGTGAAATAAGTCAATCACAGAAAGACAAATATAGTATTAGCTAGTTGTTGTAGAGGGTCAAGGAAAGATTTATATATGGAGGGAAACTTTGTTGGTTGCCAGGAGGGGGAGGGGAGGGGAGGGAACACTGCAAAAAAAAAAAAAATTTTAGTTTTGTATATTTTACTGTAAATTATATTTCAATAAAATGTATTATATACATATACTTTTGCCTATCTATGAATTTATGAGAATTTTTGTAGACTTACCTGGATATCTTACCTCTATTTATAACACTGCTTCCAGTTTTAAAAAGTGTTATCAATTAACCACATAAAAGAGTAGAAGACAGCCTATTTTTATACAAAAAATTGTCTACTTAATTGATGCAGTTGTATAATCAACAATGACTATGCCTGAAACTCATGCAAAACCAACTTTACATCTTTTGAAATGCTGTTTATGGAACAAGGGAGTCACAGAATGTTAGTGACAATAATAACAAGTGCTGCCTCAATTAAACTTCAGTTTATTTATTCATTTATCAACAAAACTCCCCCTTTAATTCTAGAAATTCCCCAATTCTTAAAAATTAAAAACTAGAATAGTGCTTGTAATTTTTTTCAGATAATAGTTAGGCACTGTCAAGTTGGCTCTAACTCATTGTGACCCTATGTACAACACAACTAAACACTGCTCAGTCCTGCACCATCCTCATACTGTTGCTGTTTAGCCAATTGCAGCCACTGTGTCAATCCACTTCGAGGATATTCCTCTTCTCTTGCTGACCCTATGCTGTTGTTGTAAGGTGCTGTCGAGTTGCCTCTGACTAATGGCGACCCTAGGTACAACAGAACACTGCCTGGTCCAGTCCAGTGCCAGCCTCACAATCCTTGCTATACCTGAGCCCATCGTTGCCGCCACTATGTCAATCCATGTTGCTGAGGGCCTTCCCCTTTTTGCTAGACCCTCCACTTTACCAAGCATATCCTTCTCCAAGGAATGGTCCCTTCTGACACTATGACCGAAGTAGATGAGACTGTACACTCCTAATGTTTCCTCTCTAATTGGGCACCCAAAGATTTTTACCAATGTCTTTCCATCAATCCTACTTTGCCTAGTCATTGTTAACATTCCAGTCCTCATTTTGGCCCCAATCTATCACAACTTCACTAGTATTTTTTTTATTTTTTCAGCTAAACATATTTTTACTCATACCTCTAAGTGGAAGGGGGCAACTCTAAAAAGCAAAGCACCAACTGAGCCATGTAATAAATGCTGGTGATCCAGGTCACTGCAGAAAAACAATCTACCTTCCTGTGGCTTTCTTAAAAATCAGGGAAAAGTATAGCATTACTAATCTTACTTATGTTTGATTTATGTAACACACTTTTCTCTTTTCAGTGAGTTTTCCATAAATATTACATCTGAAAAATCCTCACAACTGGACCAAGAAGCAACATCTCAAACACAGAAAAGACTGAATAAATAGAGAAAGACTGAAGTTGTCAAAGATTTCTTGTTACTTCAATCTATAATCAACACCCATGGAAGCAGCAGTCAAGGAATTAGACATTGTATTGCACTGGGCAAATGTGCTGCAAAGGACCTCTTTAAAGTGTTAAGTAAGAAGCAAAGATGACGCTAAAGACTAATGTGCCTAACCCGAGCCAGGGTATTTTCAAATGCCTCATACACATGTGAAAGCTGGACAATGAACCAGGAAGACTGAAGAATAGTTGATGCCTTTAACTATGGTGTTGCAGAAGAATACTGAAAATACCATGGACTGCCAGAAGAACGAACAAGTCTGTCCTAGAAGTACAGCTGGAATGCTCACTAGAGTGAGAATGACCAAACTTTGTCTCACTTATTTTGATCATGTGATCAGAAGGGACCAGTCCCTGAAGGATATCATGCTGGATAAAATGAAGGGTCAGCAAAAAAAGGGAAGCCCCTCAATGACACGGACCGACACAGTGGCAGCACCCATGGGTTCAAAGATGGCACCAACTCTGAGGATGGCACAGGACCAGGCAGTACTTCCTTCTGTTGTACACTGAGTCACTACAAGTCAGAGCCAACCAGACGACACCTTCCAACAGCACGACTAATTTCTTATAAAACTTCCCAAACGATCATCTGATTCTCACACTACTTAATAGAAGGACCCTAATCAAACTAAAAAGTTATGCTTTAGGCTAAAGGAAAAAAAAATTTTTCAATAAAATGTAGAAATATTTTAATTTACATATCATATTACAATGAATCAATGAGTCAAAATCCACAATTACACATTCAAAAAATTTCTGCACATCTTCCTCAGAATAATCAGTTTCTGTACAAAGATTTACAGACAGATGTCCAGTGTACGCAGTTCTTCCTCAGTGTGCCACCGAGTTTAGAGGTTCTGCTCGAATATTCCCCAAATCAAGTGCAGAATCTGTCTCTTCATCAATTTCTCCAATGACTGCACTGTAAACATTTATGAAGGAAAAAAAAATCCAAGAGTTAAAACAATCTCATTTCTTAATAAATTCACTAATCAAATGGGAATAAGTAGTGCCATTCTTACAAAACATCCAGTTAAACTGAGAGAACTACTGAAGACAGAAAACAAGTATTTTCCTGAGACAAAAAATTGCACATTTAAACACAAAACTGAATTTGAAGGTAACATTACAGAATCCAATATCAAAAGACAGCTTGCAAATAATAATTGGGTCATGAGTCTTTAAAGAAGACAGACACATATGGAATAGATACATACAAAAACTCACAACTTCCAAACCTATGATTACAATTCAAGTCTGGGCCTATACTGAAAAAAGAAAAGAAACACAAAGTTACTACTAAAAGAGTAAGCAAATAGGCTGTACTCTGTGAGTAACTTCAATGAACTAAAGTCATCAACAGCATATAATTCATGGTCAATTTCAACCTACCAACAAGGTATCAATCAGATTGCAAAATCGCAGAAAATGTATCAGTCAGCTCTTAGGAGTCACTACCAGCTGGCTCCAGAAGGCCAGGGGAATGGGCCACATGGTACTCAGCTTTGCCTCCTTTTCATTTCTTATAGTCTGCCTCACAACCTCACCTAAAAGGCATCTCTACAGAATAGTTTATAAGCCTCTGATTTTAGGACCAAGCCATTTTTTTCATTCTACATCTGCAGGTGATTTTAAGGTAACTTAAATGACGAAAGCATTCCTTCATTTTCTACATCCTACTTGTTCCCCCAAATAATGAGATTGCTAATGGATCTTTTGCTGTTATTCAGCCATATTTTGATTGTACATAATACTCGTTAGAAAATGTATCCAACATTCATCTAGCCTCTCTCCCAGCACTGCCTCATACAGTAACCAGCCCATTGGATTATTAAAATTAGTTATAAATAAAGTTAAAATTTCAGTTCCTCAGTCAAACCAGCCACTTTTCAAGTACTTAATAGTGACACAGAGCTAGTAGCTATGTATTGGATGATGCAGATAATGACCATTTCCACCACGCTGAAAGCTCCATCAAATGGCACTGCTCTATAAGGTTACATGTTTTGTTTCTGCATATATTTTGCTACCACTAAAATATACCTTCTCAAACTGACATAAGTATCAGTGTGCCACAAGTTAATTGTAGCCACAGGATGACCATACCAAACCAAAAACCAAACTCATTGCTGTCAACTCAGATCTGACTCATAGCGACCCCTCCTTGGGTTTCTGAGGTGCTATCACTACAGAAGTACATTGCCCAATCTTCCTTCTAAGGACTGGCTGGTGGGTTTGAACCACCAGCCTTCTGGTTAGGCACTACGCCACCAGAGCTCCTCAGGATAAACATAGCACTTAACAATATTTTTTAAAAATAAAATACAAGTAAAGGGTATATACTTATTTATGCTGTAGAGCATGAATAATTAATATTATTCAAACAAGACTTTAAAGATATTTTTCAAACTTTATCCTTAGATTCTAGCAGTATATTTATGTTCCTCTGAAATTAGGGGTATTTTAGAAGAACATTATAAATAGTCTCTCTAATGAAGTATTTAGTATGGCAGGGCCATTCTAGACTCTCTCCAGGGCACTTTAAATATTAGAAATAAACGAGTATCAGCAGATAAAAGTTTCATTTATAAAGAGATGACTGTGGTTGCCTCTTGAAGAACATCAATACAAAATATATAAAATTGGCCTTTAAGCAAATAAAATATAAGAAAAACCACAGTTACAATACAAATTGTACAAATACATGATTCTATTAACTATGTATGGATGAGAAACTATGTTATTTTCAGAAAAATTTCTATATATATCAAGTCAGTATACTGGTAACTTGAACCTGCCTTAAAAGGGTACATTTTACTTACACATTGTCACCTCTTACGATATATAATCCCAATACCACTTGTTCTACTCCCTGTGAAGAGCTGAATACTCGTTCATGACTTTCATCCAGAATCAAATTAATGGTCTGGTCAAAACCTTTCAGAGTTCCCTGTGAAGAAAACATCCAAGAGAAAAAGAAATATTGTGGTAGTTTATTCCAAAGTATAAAATTCAACCATATAATCATTTTAGTTGTCAGGCAACTCAAGAGAAGTATCAATTTTAAATATATATAACACAAAGCAATGCACTGCCATTGAGTTGGATCCTACTCATAGTGTCCCCTCCTTGGGTTTCCAAGGCAGTATTACTATGGAAGTAGATTGCCCAACATTCCCTCCGAAAAGCAGCTGGTGGGTTGCCAGCCTCTGGTTAGCAGTCAAATGCCTTAGGCACATATCCACTATAAAATACAACATCTTCTTTATAACCAACATGTGGAATGTGGAAGGGAAACAAAATATGGACTATTTAACGTTGACAAACAGGAGTTATCACAAATGTCACAAACATCCATACATAACTTCTTGATTATACACTAACTAGTCCGTCACTACCACTGAGTTGATTCTGACTCATGGCAACCCTACAGGAAACAGTAGAACTACTCACTCCACAGGGTTTCCAAGGTTGTAAATCTTCACGGCAGCAGTCTGAGTTGCTGACCTTTTGGTTAGCAGCTGAATATGTCAACCACTATACCACCAGAGTTTCTAATTCCATCAAGTAAACCACATGCTAAATATAGAACAACTGAATGGTAGTACTCAGGATGCTCTTCCTAAGTTTCCTTCTATAAAAATAAATTTCCTTCTATAAAAATATTTTGTCTACTTTGTTATCAAAAATAAGATCAGTTAAATTTGACGTTTTCACAAAACGAAAAATTAACTGCAAGTTATTTGTTAGTAACTGCGGTGTAGTAAATTACTTAGTGTGGCCTTTCTACCCATAAGTCTTTGTAAACTCCAAGGTGGGATTTTGTATGAGCAACTGAGCAGCCCCTGATTGCTGAAGGTGTCCACCTGGGTTATTTCTGTTGGGAGTGGCACAATACAATGTTCTGGGAGGTGCCCACTCTCTCTCACGTGCTTAGAGTTCTGATGCTGTGATTGGCTAGTTTGACCACCCTTCCGGGCTCAAAGGAGGCGTCCTGGAGGCAGAACTCTCTCTGACTGCTGGTTGAGGAAGACGTGCTGCTGAAAGAGACACGCACCCCTGAAAGAGACACGTGCTGCTGGGAAAGAGACGCGAGAGACACGCATTGCTGAGTGAGACACCGAGGGACCAGCACTGCTGGGAAAGAGACTGTGAGAGACTGTTGGCTGAGGGACGGTGGGCTGGGAGAGAGACTGAGCGTTCTTCCTGAATTTGTTGTAGCCTGGTGCTTCCCTAATAAACCCCATAATCTGTGAGTTCTGTGTGGCCACTGCAGTGAATTATCGAACCCAGGAGAGAGGTGGTGGGTGCTTTGGGAAGAACGGTTGGAGAAAAGGCTGGAGGGAGGCAGCATGTCTGGCCTTGCAGTAATAGGCCTTGGGTTACTGCTGGTAATCCTGTCTTCCTCTCGTGGGATTAAAGGAGGTAGGAACATGTGGCCTCCTTGTCATTTTTGCAGTAACAATTGGGTTTCCTGAAGAGCCATGAGATTAAAATACTTCAAACAGCCTTTATTTGATGAAATACAATGTTAAGGTGTCTAAAAAAAAACAGGATTACTCCCTTGATAAAGAAAAAACATGGCAACAGGTCTCAGCTTTGGAGGCAGATCCAATTTAAATCCCAGTTTGGTTCTGCACTTATTATCTATGTGACTCTTGAAAAGTGATTTACCTTTTCTTAGCTTGGTTCCTAATCTAGCGTAAAGGAATAATAATTCTTCATAGTGTTGTACTGAAGATTAAATAATCTAACACATGTAAAGTGCCTGGTACATAATACACCATTAATAAGTGGCAAAGTCTAGCACTTTGACTAGTGGTAGTCATTTAATGGCCCACTGAGAAAAAATCATGAGGATTAAACACAGAAATAAACAAAAACAAAACCACAGCATGGGAAAATAAGGGATTAAATTATATGACTTAAATTGGAGAAGATTAGAAAATAGAGAAAGGTTTAACCAAACCAAATCCATGGCCATGGAGTAGATTCTGACTCAGAGAGACCCTAGAGGGCAGAGTAGAACTGCCCTACAGGGTTTCCAGGGCTGTAATCTCTACAGAAGCCGAATGGCACAACTCCCTCCCATGGAGCAACTGGTGGGTTTGAACCACCAACATTTCAGTTAGTGGCCTAAGCACATAACTACTGCACCACCTTTGAAAGCAAACAGTATGAATGATAAATGAAGATAAAATAATTAAGTAGCCAAAAATCAAAGGATAAATTCCTTGTATCAAATTCCAAAACAAATATCAACCATACAAGTTTTATCTTGTTATATGAGTTAAATTCACAACTAAGAAATGTTTTCAAGGATTGACTCAAGGAGACAATCTAAGATTTTTCTAGTAGTAAAAGAGGCTACTGTGGTGCAAAGGAGCCCTGTTGACCAATGGGTTAAGCACTTGGCTGCGAACAGAAAGGCTGGCAGTTCTAACCCACCTGGTGATCTGCTTCCATAAAGATTCCGTAAAGATTAAACCCTAAGGGGCAATTCTACTCTGTCACACAGGGTCACTGTGAATCAAAAAACAACTCCACAGCACCTAGCAACGACACTGTGCCAAAAGAATAAGACAAAAATAAATTAGTTAATCAACATATACTGTCCTACAGAAAACAGCTCATATAACCTAGGAATATACACAAGCCACATAAAAACAAAAGCCTTAAACGTTTGTATGTAGTATCTAAGTCACAGAAAAAGTTTCTAAGTATGTACAAAATTTCGAAAAATTCATGCTTTGATTGGCAGCTGTCCAAGAGCTGAATGGGAAGGAAATGAAAAATGGAAAAGGAAGACAAAGGTAAGATACAGACAGACTTTTGCAGACTATACTAGAAGCTTCCTGATGGGAATAATCTATCTAACCCAGCCTCTAGCAGAAGCCTAGTAGGTAATATGCACTCAATGTTTATTAATGAAGAAAATATAGATCAGCAGCTATTTATCAAAGAGATCACGACAGACTTAAATCAGGAGAAAACTGCAACGCAGGTACACTGTGGCACCTAGGCATTAGAGATGGGCGGTGCACATAAAAATCATTTTACTACTAACAGCTTACCAGAAGGCAGAGAATGAAAATGCTGAATACTTACCACAATCATTCTGCCATCAGAAGTAATAACGGCGACAGTTCCTGATAACCCAGTCAAGGAAAGCATTTCTCAGGGAATGCAAATTGCAAACTTTGAACCTGGCAAAAGAACGGTTGGAATGACTAGGAAAAAGATGACAATTAAGAAATAACTATTCAACATGGCCACCACATTCCCAACATAACGTCTTCGGTCCTGTCTTTGAGGTAATAACACAAACACACACAATTAACAGTCAATCTCTTACTCCTTGTGACAAGTACATCCTACCCCAACACCTGGGATATTTGGTACTCTATTTTACTTTGAACAAAACATTCCCCACTTTCTTAGAGCTGTTTCTTCATTTCTAGAATAAAACTTGGATGATAGCTCAATCTATGTTGAATGATGCTTGGGGCCCATCTTGAACCTTTTGCTATCTCAACAATAAGGATGCCTGTAAATAAAACAAGTACATAGATTTACAAGACCATCGTCGCCGCTATGGCAACTGCTCATCTTATTTCCAAACATGAACGTGTGAGCCCTGGGAGAATACTAAAGATAAATAGCGTAATTCTACAGAGGCAGAAAAATTCGGGATAATCCTACTGGGTTTATTTTATTTTAAGCCAAAATTCAAATATACTTTGGCCCGCGGCAGAAGCGACGCGCTCGAGCTCCGGCGCCAGACTGGCCGGTCGCGGGTCCTTATGCCCCTCGCACGCACACAGGGCCCCGCAGTGGCCCGCGTCCCACCCGACCACAGATCCTGATCCCAGCCCTCTCCAACCCGGGAGCCGCTCTGGTGCAGATATGGGCATTGCGCTGCGGCCCTCCAGAGGATACGGTTGATGTAGTTCTCCAAAGCAGACGTCATGTTTGGCCCGGGAATTCCGAGCAACACCGAACAACAGCAACAAGAAGAGACAAAAGCACCCGCCAACAACTGCCGGCGGCTCGCGTCCGCTGACGACAACAAATATCGCGAGAGTTGCCGCGCGGTACTTGCTGTGACAGGAACTGGACAATTGTACCAGAGAGCAGGAAGCGGAGGCGAATTAGTGCGCATGCGCAATGTGTTGCCACGGTTCTTCCGGAAGACGATCCCGGAAGGCGTGGGAAACCAAAGCGAGCAGAGGGTAGAAAAAAAAGGAAGTAGATTCTTTGTAGGTGGCATAAGAGGGAGAAGGTGTGAGTATGACTTTCCTAAACAGAGAGAAGAAATGAAAGGCAAAGGAAAAAGTAGTAGAAAAACCGGAGAAAACGGTAAGGTGTTTTGAATGCAGGTTAAGAAGATAAGTAGTGTTCTCGTAAGAAATAGGGGTACGATTTCTGCAGCACGGGCCGAAAATGAAATATAAAAAGAGCTGAATGGCCCAAGAGAAAGTTGCGCATATTGTAGCCGTGGCGTTGTAAATATTTAGAGAACACAAGAAGCATATTCGGGTATTGTGCATTTCCCTCAAGAGCTCCAGTGGAGGCATCTTTATTCACTTTAGCAAACTGACTCCAAACAGATGAAGGTGTGTGAGCATCCCTTAGAAAATAGATGCTCAGGCTTCTAGCAACGTAGGAAGTCTCCCTGCCCTAGGGTGAAAGGAATAAACAAAAGGCAGGTCTACGCCGCCAATGAGATGACTGGTCCAGAAGAGAGGCTTATCATAAATGCACCAGACTGGGCTCTAGTCCTTACTCTGCTACTGAATTGTGTGTCCTTGAGCAGGTCACTACGACTATTCTGGGCCTCAGTTTCCTCATTATGAGTTGTCATTATTAAAGAGTTTTTCGAAGATAAACTGTACACCACCTTTTTAAATGAATAATGCGTAGTGTGTTCATGTTTTGACAATGTTGTTTACACTGTATAGTAACTCATGGAACTAATTTAATCACAAATACACTGTAAGTCTGTGACCTTCTGTAGCTCTGTTAAATTAATATGCCAAATGAGTAACAGATGTGCTATGTTTGTAGCGCATCACAAAATGTGTTTGGTTTGAAATTTTTTTTACATGTCTTAAAACATTTTTTGTAGCCCCTAAAAATCACAGATGTGAAGAGAAAGCTTATGAAATGTCCATTTATTAAGACTTTACAAATGAATTACATGTAGATGCAAAGAGTACATGTATTCTTCATCTGAATTTGCCTTATGACCTTGGGAGTGCATGAGACTTAGAGAGTCGCTAACCAGAAGGCTGGAGGTTCAAACCCACCAGCCATTCCTCAGAAGGAAGACTGGGCAATCTACTTCTGTAGAGATACCACCTCGGAAACCCGAGAAGGGGTCACTATGAGTCAGAATCCACTCGAAGGCAGTGAGTTTGGTTTTTTGGGTTTTTGTAAAGGAGAATTAAGTTCAAGCTGCAACAGAGGAAAATGATATTAATAAACATCTGACAAATAAAAAATTAAGAGGGGATACAAGTGGGCCTTGAATTTAATTCAAACCAAAATTTCTCAAAAGGCAGTCATTTAAATGACATTCCATCACTGATAGGCATCAACTAAAGTATGCTTGGAATGGATAGTCTCTTTTATTCCATTAATTCTCAGTCTAAACCTTGATGAGAAAGCTAAGCAACTTTTACACTTAGTTCATTTAAGACTGCCCAGATATTTTACATATCCCAACCCAGTCATGGGGAGCTCTGGTAGCATAATGGCTAAGGCACTTGACTGCTAACCAGAAGGCTGGCGGTTCAAACCCACCAGCCACTCCTCGGAAGGAAGATGGGGCACATAACAACAACAACAACCCAGTCATGAGCCTCCCTTCTCCCTCACCCTTAATGATACAACTGCACTTGCCTAAAACAACACAGTTTCAAAGTTATCAAGAATAGGGCAGAGAAGAGATTAGAAAGGAGTTCCTCAGATACCTGACATTCTTGGAGTTGACTTTTCTATTAATAGAAACCAATGTACATGGAAAGGACCTCTCTGGAAGCACTGCAGAAGGACATTAATAATCACCTGAGAATTAGAATAGTTCATCTGCCTTTGTATTCTGAAGGGACATGTTTTCTTTAATTAACCTGAAGAATCAGACATATACTAGGATCTAAGGAAACTAAATTCACGCTTGCCTGTGAATGGAAAATAAAGACAGTAATAATTTGAAAAGTAATGTTACTTTTAACCCAATGTGATGGGAACTTTTAATTAACTTTAACTCCTTATATTCCTATGAGTTCCAAAGATTTCAACCAATCAGCATTATATGTTAAATAGTTCTATTTAGGGTTCTCCTAGGGAGACAAGGAGATACACATGGTCTCTCTTTATAACAACATTCCTGAATAATTGTAAATTTTAATTATAATCATGAAACAATTAGTGCACAGGATAAATAATAAATATCCCAAATTATAAAGAAAAGTAGTAGATATGGAAGTCTTAGTTCATTTGACATTATAAATTAGAAAGTATTTTTCATGTGTACTTTTATACATCTTTTGAGATAATAAAACCATTTAAAACTCCTTTTTATGGGATGGGAAAAAAATATTTAACTGACATTTTAATTGAGCATTAATGTAGCATAATGATTAAAAACACTTATTCCAGACCTGGATTGTCAGGATTTGGATTCTGGGTAACTCTGAGCAAATTACTTAACCTTTCTGTGCCTCAGTTTCCTCATCTGTAAAATGGAAAAATAATAGTTTACCTTATCATATTATTGCCTAAAGTTCTTGGAAAGTTTTTAAAACACTGCCTGGACTATAATAAGCACTCAATAAATGCTAGCTGTTATCATTCAGAGACATAGTCTGTTGGACAGGTAGCCTTCTCCTTAGCCTGAAAGTTTCTTATATGTGGTATTTTGTTCACTATTTTCTGATTGGATAAATTGAACAAAGCACATTTTAAGTGACAGAAGATATGTGTTAGAATCTTGGAAGGTTTACAGAAAGATCAAGACTTAAACTAGGGATTGAGGAAAAAGGTACACATATACTTTAAGAAAATTAATACATCAGTTATCTAGTGGAGGTAGGAACTGAAGATAGGAGGGCTAGCAAGAATACAGGTATGAGTTTCTGATTTGTAGCAATAGGAATGGAAAGGCAGAAATGAAATGTGTTTCAAAGACAGTGCCTAAGAAAGGCCGCAGGACAGACAGCACATAATGAGCAGCAGGGTGACAATGGTGGATGAATTGAAAGGATAGCGGGAGTAGGGAGACCCGGGAAAAGACAGGACTGAGTGCTTGTTAAAGCAGCAGAGGCAATCTGCAGAACTTTGTAAATGTGACTCATGTTACTAGCCAATGGTGAAGTCAAGGAACAGATTGGTTAGATTTACCTTAGCATACACTTTCCCTTGAAGGTCTGGAAACCCAATCTGCCATGAGGCCCACTGTTTTGTTTTATAAAGGATAATAACGCATATTACGGTTGTTGTTAGGTGCCGTTGGGTCGGCTCTGACTTGCTGCAAACCTAGGTACAACAGAGTGAAACACTGCCTGCTCATATACCACCCTCACAATTCTTGCTATACCTGAGCCCATCATCACAGCCACTGTGTCAGTCCATCTCGTTGAGGGCCTTACTGTTTCTTGCTTACCCTTTCCTTTACCAACCATGATATTTTCTCCAGGGACTGGTCCCTTCTGACAACATGACCAAAGTAGGTGAGACGAAGTCTGGCCATTCTTGCTTCCAGGGAGCATTCTGGCGGCACTTCTTCCAGAACAGATTTGCTCATTCTTCTGGCAGTCCATGGTAACTTCAGTATTCTTCACCAACACCACAACTCAGAAGTATCACCTCTTCTTCAGACTTTCTTATTCATTGTCCAGCTTTCCCATGCAGGTGAGGATGTTGAAAATACCATGGCTTGGGTTAGGCACACCTTATTCTTCAAAGAGACATCTTTGCTCTTCAGCACTTTAAAGAGATCTTTTGCAGCAGATTTGTCCATTGCAGTAGGATGTCTGATTTCTTGACTGCTGCTTCCATTGGTGTTGATTGTGAATCCAAGTAATATGAAATCATTGACAACTTCAACGTTTTTTCCATTTATCATAATGCTACTTATTGGTCCAATTGTGAATATTTTTGTTTTCTTTATGTTGAAGTATAATCCATACTGCAGACTGTAGTGTTCAGTCTTCATCAGTAAGTCCTCTTCACTTTCAGTAAGCAAGGTTGTGTCATCCCCATACTGTAGATTAATGAGTCATTCTCCAATTCTGATGCATATTGCTAAGAAAGATTTATCACATGGTTGGAGAGGCTGGCAGGTTCCGTCAGAGGTCAAGCTGGAGGCTTCTCCTGATTCACGTAGGTGCAGGGGCTGATGAACCCAAGATCAATATGCTATACAGAAAGCTACTGGCTGCAGAGGGTGATGAATCCAGGATAAGCTGGTTAGGTGGCAGACTACTGGTTTACAGAATGCAAAGCCAGCAATCCTCAAATTAGACAATACAGCAAGCCACTGGTTCAGATCTAAAGAACCATTAGTCAGATGATGGTGAGCCAGATGTAGGATCCAGATCAAGCAAAAAAGAGAGCTTTGCCAGGGTGTACATGTATTGGAAGCAAGCTACATCCTTGAGGGGAATCCCTTTCAACTGATTAGCTGCTCAAAGCAGATCTCATCATGGAGATGACTACATTATTTAAGATACCATCATGGGCAATGACTACATCATAACTGCTAAACCACTCAGAATCATGGCCCAGCCAAGTTGACACACAACCTTAACTATTACAGTCCACCCCTTGTCAGCCTGGCACCTGTACACATATCCTTAAGCCATACATAATCTCTAAATGAAAACAATTATAAAGTCATATTTACATTGTATATTTTATAACTGAAGAAAACAAAGATATTTGATGCACACATACAAGGAAGAAATATTCGTAACAGTTATAGTCC